CAAGGCACCTGAGGGTTTATGTCCTGTGAATTAATCAGGGAAAGCCAACATAGTTTTTTTTTTTTTTTTTTTTCTTTTTGAGGTGGAGACTCTGTCGCCCAGGCTGCAGTGCAGTGGCACGATCTCGGCTCACTGCAACCTCCACCTCCCAGGTTCAAGTGATTCTCCAGCCTCTGCCTCCCAAGTAGCTGGAATTATAGGCGCGAGCCACTATGCCTGGCTAATTTTTGTATTTTTAGTAGAGACAGCGTTTCACCATGTTGGCCAGGCTGGTCATGAACTCCTGATCTCAAATGATCCACCCACCTTGGCCTCCCAAAGTGCTGGGATTACAGGTGTGAGCCACCATGCTGGGCCCACAGTATTTCTTTTTAAATGTGAAGATGGGAATCTGCTAGTAACTAAAAAGATCACTTTTAAGAAGAAACATTTAATCTTAAATTTAATGAAATTCAATACATATAGTTATCTATTCCCCTTCCCACCCCCTAATCTTGTCTAGGTTTTTCTTTAACTTGCTTCCTTATTGGGTAATAGTTGGAAGAGAGAAAATCAAAGTCACTTTGCAATTTCACTTTGGAAGTATTTTGATTTTCTAAGGCAAAGGTGAGGATATTTGATATAATTAGTTTCCTGTGTAATCCTATTTATTGTATTGCATATGCATATAGAAGTATTATTGAAAAGTAATCCACAGAATTCTCAAGAGTGCTAGAGAGTGTATGGCAAAAAAAAAAAAAAAAATCAGAGTAGAGGGTTTAGGAAGAGAATGTTTTCCTTCCTTGGTGCTGAAGAGGGGAGATTTCTAGCAAAGGAATTAAGAGCCACCCTCCTAATGGACTCTCTCTCGAAGTACATAAGGAAAAGAAAATGTATACCTTATTCTTCTGAATAAATATCTAAAATTAACTGAAATTTATTAGGCATATAGAGTTTTGATTGACTTTGTTTCACAAAGCATGTTATCCATTTTTCCACCTCTCTCCTTTTTTTTTTTTTTTTTTTAAATTATTTGCTGTATAGTCTTTAGGTCAATGTTTATAGTTGAAAAATAACATTCTTTCCGTTATGGGGAAGCATGTGATTTCAAGATAATCTACAATGAAAGAAAAACTTTATGTTCTCATGTTGGACAGTTGGATGTCTCTAAACTTTCTTGTCTAACAGGAAGATGACTTTAGTAGAGACAGGTTTTCTCCATGTTGGTCAGGCTGGTCTCACACTCCCGACCTCAGGTGATCTGCCTGCCTCGGCCTCCCAAAGTGCTGGGATTACAGGCATGAGACACCGCTCCCGGCAGGAAGATGACTTTACATCACCTCATTCCTGTAGTGAATACTGTGGAGACCTGCCATTTGCCAGGCAGGCTAAAGGCACTGGGGCCAGTGAGATAAATGTGTCATGCCCCTATCCTCAAAGAGTTCCCAGATTCACAGAGGAGGACACGAGGTGAACAAAACATTATGACACAGGTGGGCAGTGAGTGCTGTAAGACAAGAAGGGGCTGTGGGAGGGTGTACCTACTACATGTGGCTAGACTGTCCCCACATATGGGTCGATCAGAGCTACATGGGTTTTCTCTATTAAAATTATTTTCTTTTTATTGATTAGTACAGAATTTTATTTTATTATTTTTTGAGACAGAGTTTCACTCTTGTCACCCAGGCTGAAGTGTAATGGCGTGATCTCGGCTCACGGCAACCTCTACCTCCCTGGATCAAGCAATTCTCCTGCCTCAGTCTCCTAGGTAGTTGGGATTACAGGCGCCTGCCACCAGGCCTGGCTAATTTTTGTATTTTTGGTGGAGAAGAGGTTTCACCATGTTAGCCAGGCTGGTCTTGAACTCCTGACCTCAGGTGATCCACCAAACTTGGCCTCACAAAGTGCTGGGATGACAGGTGTGAGCCACCATGCTGGACCATTGATTAGTAAAGAATTTTAATGGTAAAGATAAGAATAGATAAATTTAAGGGCTCATTTTCGTTTCTTCATCCTCATGCTATAACATATAGTGTATTTGAACTTCCAAGCACAAATTCACAGGTGCAAAAAAATAACACGTGGCATTATTTCATCAGTAGTTCTTTTCTTTCTTTTTTTGAGACGGAGTCTCATTCTGTCACCCAGGTTGGAGTGCAGTGGCGTGATCTCGGCTCACTGCAAGCTCCACCTCCTGGGTTCATGCCATTCTCCTGCCTCAGCCTCTTGAGTAGCTGGGACTACAGGCGCCCATCACCACGCCTGGCTAATTTTTTCTCTTTTTAGTAGAGACGGGGTTTCACTGTGTTAGCCAGGATGGTCTCAATCTCCTGACCTTGTGATCTACCTGCCTCAGCCTCCCAAAGTGCTGGGATTGCAGGTGTGAGCCACCATGCCCAGCCTCATCAGTGATTCTTTATTTTGGGTATATGGTAGAATATGGCACCTGGGAGAGTTTTCAAAAAGTAGCAAAGCTTGAGCTACTTCTTGGTGAGCAAGGACCTTAAAAAACTCTCGAGCAAAAATGGGATGCCTTCTAGGAGGGTGAGACGCTGTCAGAGTCTCTCCTGCCCCAAGGACCCAGACTGATCACCAACGTTCATGGCACAAATTGGCTATAGGGGCTTCCAGGCCGAATGCTCCCTATTAGCATTGGGAGAATAGGCATTGAACCTGCCAGATGATGAAGTAGAAGTGACCTCCCTAGAAAAGCTCCTCACCCCTCAGAAATGATTTCCTACCTTGAGAATTGATAATTGAAATTTCACAGTTAGATGGCCCCACCTTTTCCAGAAACTTTAGTTTCTTCAAAAATAGAAGTGTCTCTAAGGAGTTACAATAAAATTTACTGGTGATTTGTATCATTTGGGGCTCATCTCCTCATAGCAGGTTTAGAAAGGGGTGAGCAAGGTAAGTTTATGAGACTATTGGATTCTCCTAATGAGCGTTGGAAAAGGTGCAAGAATAGAAGCCTGTATTTGGCACTTCTGAGCATGGGTCTGCAGCTCACCCTAAAAGTGGAGTTGGTCCCTTATTTTAAAATCACTTAATGCTCTTTGTAATGCTATCATTATAGGGATGATGCTCTTTCTTCTAGTTTTGAACTCTCTGCTGTCTAGAAACTTTTTCATGTCAAAAGTTCACATTGTTCATTCATATCAAAAGAACCAAATGAGATACAAACAGAAAAATACAATTTATATGGCAGAAGTGGGAAAAATCATGGAAATTCCTCAAAAAGCGAGTAGCACAGGTCAGGGTGGCGTTCCTTGTATGCTTTCATACAAGATGTTTTGTATCATTCTCGCTTAGAAACATAAGCACCTGTCCTCAGAGAGGCTGGTCAGGGATGGTTCTGCAGAGCACTTAGCACATTCTGAGTGCTCTGTAAATGTTGAGGCTATGAGGTAATCTTCAGAAGATGTCTCCTCAGAGGAAGGTGCTATGCAAATACTAGTATTGTTATTCTTTTAGCACAAATATGTAATTGACTTTCTGTTAAACATTGCAGCAAGTTAAATTAATTCGGTATGATTACAGTCATTAAACAAATGCCTGGTAATGACTGCCTTCTTATTTTAGCAATTCCTCAGACCACTGGGGTAATACCATACAAGACTTTTGCTCCATTGTCAGATTAATTGGGTTGTACAACCTGCGTTTCACGATAGAGCGTGCACACTGCCTTACAGCAACCGGACCATGATTTAAGCCTAGTGCTGAACCAATTTACCTTCCAGTTTTCCCTATTGCTCTTGCCATTCCGTTAGGTACAATTGACTAGTTCATTACAGCATACAAGTAGCTTAAGGCCATTTCTACCTGTTAAAAAAGAAGTGTGCTTTTCAAACCAAAATGTGGGCAGGAATTCTCCCACAATCATTCTCGCAACGTTGAAACCAGCCAAAGCGAGAGGGACAGTGATGGCTTTAACCTGTGCTCGCGTGGGGGTGGTCACCCTAAGAATTACCTGCCATCTTAGCAAGCAGGACAGAAACAGTTAAGTCCTAAAGGCTGTGAGTTAAAAACTCTGTCTGAGAGAAAAGCAACGTAAGATGTCCCTGCCAGGTGTGGATGGAGAAAGACTGCACTCCTTAAGCCTCTCTTTCCACTGAAGGTCATCTGTCTGGTGCCACCTTAGAAACTGGTCTGATTCTGCAGAGGACATTGAATGATAACACCCTGCAAGTCAGCTGACTGCTGTGTCAGAGCTGCTGCTTTCTGCATTATCGCAACTGCCAGCTCCAGCTCCTGCAGTTTCCCAGTCGCAATGCAGCAAAGCAGAGGCAGACAACTAGGCACAAAGCAACAGAGTTTTAAAGTTTTCTTCTCCTGCTACTACTTAGCGTGTCTTGCATGAGGAGTATTTACCTTTGTTTAGCCAGGAGCAGAGATGCAGCCTGAATGTACACGATGGCTTCTAACTTGGCAGCGCGAATTTTCAGCTGAGCAGGTACTGCTCGGAGACTTGTAACCAAACTGCTTCTGATGGAGCACGGCTGGTTTCCCACCATGTGTGTGAATAGTTTGGGGGCTTCTTATGCCACGCTGCTCTACCTGCAGGAATAAAGGCTAGGACAAAGGAGAGGATGCTTGCCATGGTTTGTCTGGCTGGGGCCTGTGCGAGCGACTCACCGCACTGATGCTGTGTGACTCCCCAGCTCACGTTTAAGGCTGGTCACGGGGCTGGCGCAGATCCCCACTCCTCAGTTAGAGCACGGTTTAAAGGAGAAACCAGACTCCCTGATCTAAATCTTTCCCAGTCCTCTCTGGATGCGGGACAGCTGTCGACTAGCAGTGACACAACCAGCCATCAAGTGGAGAATCCTTGCGACTGCAGTCTGTGTGCAGGTGGAGCCCGGGAGAATGACAGTCTAATTTCGGTCATCCAATGGCTTTTTCTGATTTTCCTAAATAATCGTGCTCGCTAAGTATACAGTTGTCTGGATTAGCCTGCCTGCCATGCAGTCCTCATCAACTCTGGCTGGAAATCAGGGTGCCAGGCAAGCCGCCTTTAGCTCTGGCTTCTTTCTGCGTGATGCTATGCAGCTAGGATGGGTCACGCTGACAACAAAGAAGGAAGCAGAAAGCATCACTTTCTCTTCTCTTGTGATGTTAGCGGAACATAACTCTTCTTCGCAGTGATGCCCTCCTCTCTGTGTGTGTGTGTGTGTGTGTGTGTATGCGTGTTTTAATTCATCTAATCGAAGAGCCTAGCAAACATCATCATGGACGTGGTTTTTAATGATTTGGAAAAAGCAAAAAAAAGACAGCCTGTGGAGACAGCGATTCGAAACAGCGGCACATTTAGGTTATTGCCAATTTGAAATACTTGGTTTGTGAAGCTGAGCCCTAAGGGACAAGCTCGGTAACTGAGGAAGAGATCGTAGATAAAGAAATAAAAATGACAAGCGTAATGGAGGCTCTGCGAAGGGACTGTCAGAGCATCAGTTCATGGATGGCAATTTCGCCAGGCTGAGATTGAATAATTCATAGATTGAAATTACCCTGCTTTCACCTTTCCATTTAAACCGGCATGATCTGAATCTCTAATAAATTTTCAAGATAAAGTAAAATGCCAATTTGAATCTGAAGAGCTTTTAAAACCAGATGCTGCATCCCTGCATCTTTCGGTATCTTTCACAATTATCCTATGAGAACAGCACTTCATCACGAAGCACCATTACCAGGGAAAATTACTGTGATTACAATAGCAACAATAGAACACCATCAAATGATCTCTAATTTACCTAATTTGCTAAGACTGACTGTGTGGTTTTGATATCCATTGTATGTCACCATGCCCGGCACCCGTGAAGCTATCTCGCGCTGGAACAAAAGTGGCATCGTGTGTGTGTGTGTGTGCGCGTGTGTGTGTGTGTGCACGCACATCCTGCTACCTTAACTGTGAAAGCCTGGCAAAGAATATTCTCCTAGGTTACCATATTTCTTTCCTTTGGTTCACATTTTTGCTTTTTTCCAATGCCTCTACCCCAAACGTGTTTGGGGAAATGGAGAGCCTGTCATGGATGACTGTTTTTTGATACAGAAGAGCATTGATTTGTTAATTTATATACCCACTTTACTTTAATGTCTACAAGCATGTGTTTACTAAAAGGGAGGTAGGATGCTGTTCTGGGAGAGTAGTTTTAAAATGCAGCCGAGATGTAGCATATGTGTTTGTTTCTTCCTTGAAACGCCTGTCTGTCTCTTTCAGGTTAGAAATCCTTTCCGGGAACTTTAGTCCTGGTGTGATGTGTCAGAAGCCTCTCAGATTGCAAAGAAGCTCGGGAGAGACAATCAGTAATAACTCTATACAGCTTTTATTAAAAGCATGCATGTTCAATTCAGTGATTAAATGAAGCTTCGGTACAACTTTGGCTATGTTTATGCCTGCTCACTCTGGAGTAAAAGTCTGTACTAAAGAGAACTTTTTGGGACAGGCTGCACGGTTCATCTCAGGGTAATTGTGCCATCCTGAGAAGGTGGCATGGATCATAAATCCTCCCTGGAGAACAGACTGTAATCATTAATAGGCACAATGGCTTGTGGAATTTTACTTTCAATAGTATGAAGGTAGTATGTGGGTTTCTGCTAGTCAAGTGATTTAAGTGTGGTTATCTAAGGTAGGGCTTCGGAGGTACGACAACCATCTGGGAGGAAGGTAGGTTTGAAACACACCTTTCTAACGTTCTGGGGTTTTTGCATGAGATCCTTAACTCTGATACGTTCCTCAATCCATTATCACAGATTTACCCCTTCCCTTATCCTGTGACCCAACAAATACCGTTGTCAGAGCAGGTAAGTTGTGTTTCTCATCATTTGTATAATTGAATATGTTTTTCATTGTGGGCTTTCAGCAAGAACATGCTTTTTTATGTTATCTTTTCTTTCTGCTTATTGTTACTTTATGCTTATTGTTATTCTCACTACCCTTGAGATAACTCACAACTTTTTCCCCTTGTGTTTTTCTAAGTACAAATGAAAACATGGTATTTTTAAAAGTGATTTAAATATAGTTTTTGTTCCCTTTATCTAACTAAATACACTCAAGGTTTTAATGCTTTTCAAAAAGAAGGGGAAAACAGTTTTACTTAGGGAATAATTTGTTTAAAAATAGCAAGCAATTCAGTAGATATCAAGTGTGTTGCTATATTGTTTTCTTTAGATAGCTCACATTTCTAATACTGAACCCATTATTCTTATCTTTCAAGAAAGAGGCTTGACTTAGTGACAAAGGACTTTTCAAAAGCCCACACTGCCTACGTGCTAATGTGTTTTTATTATTATTATTAAAACATAGTCTGGATATTCGGCAAAGGTTTTTAATTTCTAGCATTTTAAAGCTGTTCAGTAGTTGAAGTTTGAACAGAGTCATCATTGTTTGAGCAGATCGGTTTACATGTCTGATGTTTGATACAGGAATCCTAAGATCATCTAAGAATACTTTCAGATCAGACTTTTGTCACTTTCTTGGGTCTCATTAGAAACTAATTATATTCACTTGATAAAAATGGGTAATTTGAAGCTCATTGTTTGATCATTCAGGTATTTATAGTTTATAGTCTTGGAAAATGTCTTGTTTCTTTAGGAATGCAAGTGCCAGACTATTAGTCTTTTACATAACATACAAGCAAGAGTTTACTATTGCATGTTAGTGCCTGATATTGAAATTCGCTTGTTTTGCCATAAAAAAGATAAGATCCATTATATAGAGCTGCTAACTTTAAAAATCCTAACTCCATTGTTTCTTTGAAATCAATTTTTCTTTTCAACTTTATTTAAGTAATTGAACATAAATAAACATAACACTTTAAAACACATTCATCAGGTAAGTTTTAATCCACTACTGGCAATGTTTTTGCTATTTATGGATATATCTTACTTATAATGCTCTGGATAAGCATAACATAGGTGAAAAAGACATAGAATCACTTTACATTTGCAGGTAATTTGAAAATAAAGAATCAACTATGAAAGTATATCAGCATGAGTTAATTTAGGTGAAATCTTAGGCAATCATGGGTTAACAGTATTTTGCAAGGTTTTTTGTTTTGTTTTGTTTTGTTTTTGGTGGGAATGAGAAACATAGGCAAAAAATTATCTCCTCCTCTTGACTTCTGAAAACTCTCAATTGCTCGAGAACATCAGCTGCAGTTACAAAGAGTGATTTAAAATTTAAACACACAGGAACGCATGCATAGAGTCCACACAAATGTGTTATGCTTTAAGATAGAATGAGTAACAGTGCCACCTAACAATTGCAGTCACTTCTGGATATTAGTGTATTTTCTATTTTACCTCATTGCTAGCAGGGAACAAAAATCTAAACTAAACTAAAATTCTTCATAGATAATATATTAACATTTCTTGGCTATTTATTAACTAGTTAACAAATGCTATAGTGAAAAAATGCATTTTTACATATAACCAAATGGGATATTCCTAGTTGACAATCACAGTTGGATTTCTCTCATTAACATATTCCGCAAGAACAATAGCATAGTATATTTTCTCCTAAGTTTTAAGCGTAGTAATAAAACACGCCTTTACCAAGTACCAATATTTGTGTTACACTAGTCTGCCAAAGAGAAAAAGGCAGGCAAGACAAAAGAAATAGGTTAAGATAAAAGAAAGCACTCTGTATTCAGTGAGGCTTTTTATTTTTAATGGCGTAATCAAAAAAGATTGGTTATGTTGTGTCTGGGTGCCGTCTTTTAAAAGAACCTCTTCTCTCTAGTAAGATTTTTTCCCAACATTTTATTATACATTTTTGTGAACATACAAAAAAGCTAAAAAATTATGAGCACCCATACACAAACCACCTCGACTCTATGAATAACAGTGTACTGTGCTTGTTTTGTCACATATCTATCAAACTACCCATCCCTCTATTCACCCATCACTCCATCTTATTGTTTTGATGCACTTATAAGTAAGTTGCAGACATCAGTACACTTCACTCCTCAGGATGTGCCTGCTGAAGTGTTTCACTATAATTCAACATTTGTTTACCGTGCTTACCTTTACGTAAGATTTCTATGTGCATGTTGATGACCTGATTTTGGAAAAATGCACTGTTGTATTTTATATGACATAAACTATCTCTTTAACATAATGAATAGCTGGATGTAAACTCTCATGATTCTATATTTTAACTTGGAAGGTAAATTTGAGGATTTGTCACAAGTCCTCATTTATGACAAAGGGAAACCACTATGGTAGATGTAAGTGGGCCTTCCCCATCTTCAGTTGCTATGTGTCCCCCATCTCAGCCTTCACCCACCATGCCCAGGGACCACTGGTAAGTCACCATCAATTTTGGGATGGAGGAGGTGTCAGGCATACAAAAGTAATTCCCAGAGTCTATTTTTGTTTTTGGACCACCTTTCCTTTCTCTCTCCTGCAGGTGCATGAGAAGTAACCCATTGGCCTCTTGACTAATCACCAGCTTTCCTTCTACTTGGATTCTTCTCTGCCTCTTTTCTTTCCTCCCCAACTCTTCCCACTTAGCTTTCTCTTTTCCACTTTCTCCCTACTCCTACCTTTTCTTCTCAGAAACAAAGGAACAAATCTCTTCATTTTTCAAGTCATTCTCCTGCACTCAATTTCATGGATGCAAAGATGAGGGATTTAAATAATCACAAGAACTCTTAAAGGGATTAGTTTCTCTTGGTCTTAATTAAAACATAAATGAGTTGAGAATTGTCCTCTCAAGACTGCTTCAGTAATTCATCTCTTGGATCCAGTCATGTGAATGAGATTTACTCATTCATCTTTTTTTTTTTTTTTTTTTTTTTTTTTGAGATGGAGTCTCACTCTGCCACCAGGCTGGAGTGCAACGGCGCAATCTCGGCCCACTGCAACCTCTGCCTTCTGGGTTCAGGCGATCCTCCTGCCTCAGCCTCCCGAGTACTTGAGACTACAGGCACAAACCACCACGCCCAGCTAGTTTTTGTATTTTTAGTAGCGACAGAGTTTCACCGTGTTGGCCAGGATGGTCTCGATCTCTTGACTTCGTGATCTGCCCGCCTCGGCCTCTCAAAGTGTTGGGATTACAGGCGTGAGCCTCCTCACCTGGCCCTACTCATTCATCTTTTAACTGAACCCTATACCAAGCTTCTCTAAGATTTGAGTTTGTTTAGCTCTGAAGAATGGGGACATTGGCTATGCTTCCAAAATCTGCTAAGTTTCATAGACTGCAGCTTCCTGTCATTAGCCATGGTCCATGGCACTTCCATTCAGGACCATTACAAGACCTTATGCCCTTGGTCCTTGGCCCCCAGGGTGCAGACGTTTCCAAAGCCTTCTTCCCTAGGTTTTGGTCCACTTACACAAGGCAGTCACCTTCCAGGTGGCTCCTCTCTCAGGCCATTTTTCTTTATTCAGTTCACCATGCCTAAAGTTTTCATTGGATAGATAACAATGGGTCTAACCTTAGCTGGAATTCTACCAATTTGCCTATTTTTATTAAGTAGTAATTGGATATGACAGACTGGTTAAGAGTTTAGGCTCTGTAGTAAGACAAACCTGAATTGTAGTCTCAGTTTTGCAACTTAACTAGTAGCATTATCCAGGCAAGTCATGGAATCAAATTTTAAGCTTCACTTCTTCAGAAGGTTGTTGTGAGTATTAGATGACACACACACACACACACACACACATATATATATGAATATATGGCCAAGTTTTGGAAAAGTGCACTATTTTGTGTGTTTGTATGTGTGTGTGTATATATATGTATATATACAGCACACTAATACATAACAAGTATATCTATATCTATATATATCACAGTTTCTAGCACCTGATTGGTACTTGTTATGTGTTAGTGTCATTATAATCATCATCATCATCATCATCATCGTCATCTCAACAGAAGGTGCCATCACCCCAGAGCTCAGTTGGCTCTCCGTCAATTAGGGTCATCTCATAGATCCTAGCAGACTACTCTCTCTTTCTATGTCCAAATTTGCTGATCCTAATAGACCTCCCATTAAAGTTCACGTTTTTCAAGGTCTGCAAATATCCCTAGCTTTCAACTAATTGTGGGGCCCAATGAGTGACTACATTTGATAATTTTCTCAATTAGATTTCCAAATGAAAATTCAGGGGACAAAAAGTTAAAGAGATTTTGGAAGTACAGGGAAGTAGTATGGCTGGGACTGTCCAGGTGTTTTACACACAATAAATTATTGACGTGTAAATGTCATTTAGTCCAGCATAACATAATACAGAGGTCAATATGATGGAATCTGAAGCCAGACAGTCAGTATTCTAATCCTGATTTTGTTGCTTAGTATCTGTGTGACTTTGGACGATTTTTTGACCCTTCTTTGTTTCTCAGTTTTCTTATACATATAAAGTAAGGATAATGAATGATACCTTTCCCATAGGGTAGTACTGAGGATTAACTTAATTAATATCTACAAAACACCTAGAAGAGTGTCTGGCACATAGTGGTGCTATGGAAGCATTTGTTAAATAACAAAGTAAAAATGAAAGATAGACAAAGTAATCTTTGAGTAAAGATTACTTGAGTAAAGTAATCCAGAGAGGTTATCAATTTGTTCTCAGTCACACAGCAAATTAGTAAAAGATCCACCATTTAGGCGGGGCTCAGTGGCTCAGGACTGTAATCCCAGAAGTTTGGAAGGCCAAGGTGGGCGGACTACCTGAGGTCAGGAGTTCAAGACCAGCCTGGCCAACATGGCGAAACCCCGTCTCTATTAAAAAATACCAAAAAATTAGCTGGGTGTGGTGGCGTGTGCCTGTAATCCCAGCTACTCAGGAGGCTGAGC